ATAACACCGAGTAGCATGGCACAGCGCAGCACTGCATAGCACGTCACAGGACTGCACTCGAGAGCCTTGCGCACAGTTGTAGCACTGCGTATCGCAACACAGCATGGCACTGCACATCCGCGCGCGGCAGAGCCTTCCATTCGCACCATCATCAGTATCTGCAGCATCAGCAGAGCATCAGCAGAGCACAGCATTGACCTTTGTGCGCGCGGAGCTGGCGCCCACGTCGTCGCGGTCACCGACCCGAGGACCAGCGCTGAGTGATCTCCACAGCGCCAGCAATGGGGGGGGGCGGGCTGTGGTTAGCGTTGTGGGGGAGAGCACCGATCTCGGCCAGATCTCCTCGCCGTTCCCCGCCCTCGCCCCTGCGAGCCGCTCCGACGTCGAGAAGTTAGGCCAGCGTGAACATCGGTTACAGGCAAGGCGAAGCAGCTCAATACAGAGCAGGCCACAGTAAAGCGAGGGTGCATCGTGTGAGCACTCGCTGCGCCTGTGTTTTGCCTACCCTCGGTTCGTTCTCAAGTCCGTCCTGTCTGCAGTCTCATCCAGCCTGTGGTCACCTTCTCTTGAGCCGAGAGGACCTGATCGTGGGGGTCGCGCTGATGTCATCGGGTATCTTGCAGCGAGTGGGCCTCACATGATTCAAAAATATGGTTTTCGGGAGTGATTTGTGTTGGGATATGTCCCAAACTAGTTTGTACCAAAAGGTCTTAAGGTTTTCTGTGGCAGCAAATCGACGCAATGTTGTGCCACGGAGGGCAAAGGCAATCCAATGCAACGCAAAGCAGTGCTCTGAAATCCAAAGCACAGCAGCTCAGAGCAAATCACACCAGAAGAAACCAAGCCGACGTAAGCGACAAAAGCAAACGCAGTGCAACGCAACGCAGGCAGCCCAGAGGAAAGTCGGGCAGAGCAAACCTCATGCGGCAACCTGCACCCTCAGTATGGTCTTTGCGGTACAGTCGGGTTCCATTAGTAGGTCGGCCCTGCGAAATCAAGGGTGCTCTTGTGTCCTGTGCATCGCGCGTCGTGTCCTCTGCGGCCTCGGCAGGGTACCCTTGTGTCCTGTGATTTTGGAGGCCATTGTGCCGTCGGAAGAGTCTTGTGTCCTGTCGCGCGTCCTGTGCGCAATAACCCGCCTGTAGTTCGTCTCAACGTTGTGCTTGGCTTCAGTCTTGTGGCCACCCTGCTTTAAGTCCGCATTCCATCATGTTTAATATCACAGGCCGCCCCCGAACGAGTGAGGCGCGCCGTGCTCGTGCCGAACGCTGCGCGCTGTGCAAGTCGACCTCTGCCTGCGCGCCCGAGGGGCCCTTCGCCAGGGCGACCCTCGGGGCGCGCGGCCTGCGGGGGGCGCGAGGCGCGCGGGCCACTGCGGTCGCCTCGCACGCGGCGATCGGCGAGCCGTTCGCCGGGGGGCCGCTCCTGCCCGGGGCCACTCCTGCGTGCAGCTGGTCGGTGCATTTTGCTGGGTGGGTCTCTCGAGCTCGTCGCCGCTTCGAGCGATGTGCGTTCGGGGCAGGGATGCGGCGAGGCGACAGGGGGGCGCGGGGCCACAGGCGCCGAACTGCACTGTGAGTGCCCCGCTGTCCTGGGGGGCTTTGCTGTGTGCTCGTGCTCGCCGGAGCATGTGGCACGCGTGCGGAGCTGCGCTGCCAATGCCACGCCCTCCCGCGGCTCTGCTGCGCTCCTGCTCCCTGGCATTGCTCGGATGTGTGCATTTTTACCTAACAGCGAAGACTGATAGACTGATAAGAGCATCATGACTCCACAGGGGGGTCCGGGCGGCATCCGGGGAGCTGGGTCCGAACTCGTTTTTCGCAAACAGTCACACACTTCGTGCTCTTCGACCTCCCAGAACTCCATTCCCGGGCCACTTTTTGGATGCCCAGAGCCAACTGTAGGCCACTTCGTGCTCTTCGAGTTCCCAGAACTCCATTCCCGGGCCACATTTTGGATGCCCGGAGCCAACTGTAGGCCACTTCGTGGTCTTCGAGTTCCCAGAACTCCATTCCTGGGCATGATTTTGAATGCCCGGAGCCAACTGTAGGCCACTTCGTGTTCTTCGAGTTCCCAGAACTCCATTCCTGGGCACATTTTGAATGCCCGAAACCAACTGTAGTCCACTTCGTGTTCTTCGAGTTCCCAGAACTCCATTCCCGGGCCACATTTTGAATGCTGAGGCAGGCTGATGACGAGGCTGAGGCAGGCTGAGGCTGACGCAGGCTGAAGCTGAGGCCGAGGCTGAAGGCAGACTGAGGCTGAGGCTGAAGCAGACTGAGGCTGATGCTGAGGCAGGCTGAGGCTGAGGCTGAGGCAGGCTGATGCTGAGGCAGGCTGAGGCTGAGGCTGATGCAGGCTGAGGCTGAGGCAGGCTGAGGCTGAGGCCAAGGCTGAAGGCAGACTGAGGCTGAGGCTGAAGCAGGCTGAGGCTGAGGCTGAGGCAGGCTGAGGCTGAGGCATCTGAGGCTGAGGCTGAGGCAAGCTGAGGCTGAGGCTG